GTGTAGGTCCATGGGCCATCTGGAAGGTGATCTCTGGTGACAAACACAGTCTTTTAACTTTCCTCCACATTTTGTCATCATCAGGTTCTGCGGTTGGTTTCCTCCAGAGGTCACCTTCTTCCTTGCTTGCCTGTTTCTGCAGGGTCAGCAGTATGTATGTGTTTTGGCTGAACTTGTAAAAGAAAGCTGTTAACACCTTAACGCCGTTACGGCGTTCAATCTCCTCTCCCTGGGATGCTGGTTGCTGCAGGGACGAGGGACTGATAATCGCCTCTCCCTGGGATGCTGGTTGCTGCAGGGACGAGGGACCGACAATCTCCTCTCCCTGGGATGCTGGTTGCTGCAGGGACGAGGGACCGACAATCTCCTCTCCCTGGGATGCTGGTTGCTCAGGGACGAGGGACCGACAATCTCCTCTCCCTGGGATGCTGGTTGCTGCAGGGACGAGGGACCGACAATCTCCTCTCCCTGGGATGTTGGTTGCTGCAGGGACGAGGGACCGACAATCTCCTCTCCATGGGATGTTGGTTGCTGCAGGGGCTGATGTTTCCACCACCCAGCTCGTTCTGCTCGATATTGCAGGTCCTCAGCCACGTGGGTCTCAAGTATCCTGACAACACTTTCCGGAACATCAGGGCCTAAACACGCCAGTTGCCATTGCATCTCCCGAAGGAACGCCTGCTCGTAGGTGAGCGCTGCCCAGGGGCCAACTCTCTCCATTCTGCTGTGGACAGGGCCGCTCTACGAATACTAGCGTTACCCTCAAATTGTAATTCCAAACGTTACCGGTGCCTCTGCTCTACTTCTCCTCACACTAGGACGCCATCCCACCACTGCCACCACTGTAACGGAACCGCTGGCACCCCGACCGGGTACCTTCCGCCGACGGATGCTCCAGGTGCTTTCCGAGGACTCCAAGCACTCTGCCTGACACCATAACCACTTTTGGGCATCGGGTGTCTGTTGCTTTTCGGGATCCAGATGTATAGGGAGGGGGAGACCCTGCCAAAGATTATGTGTTCCAGGTCCACCCATCTTTTAATCCTGTATGGGGCATGGAGGTGTTGTACTTGGGTTATTTTGGTAGCATGGAAGTAGTGTATAAAGTGGGGAAGCCCTAGTCCTCCTTCTTTTTTAGGGACATCTAGGGTCGCCCTTTTGATTCTGGCCCTTTCGTTGACCCAGATGAATTTATTTATGTATGTTTGTTTTGTTTAAAAGTCCAACGTTGAGATCATTATTGGCAGGGCCTGAAACAGGTATAGGAATTTGGGTAATATATTCATTTTTACTGAGGCCAATCTCCCCATCTAGGAGATTGATAGTCCTGTCAATGTCAGGTCTTGGTGGTCTTGTGGAGTAGAGGTGTGTAGTTGAGGCGGTAGCTCTGTGTCAAGTCGGCTGGTAGGCATGTAGGTAGTTGGGAAATTAAGAGTGTTTTTTGTTTGAGAGTCGAGGTTTGGGCATCGGTGAGGTTTAGTGGTAATGCTTCCGTCTTGTCGCTATTTAATTTGTATACGGAGACCATTGCGTAATCTTGCAATGCTTCTAATTAGGGGGGTCATGGAGTTGAGGGGGTTTGTAGTAGTCAGGAGGTCATCCGCGTAGGCTGGAGTTTTAAATTCTTCGACACGGATTTTGATCCCCGCTATCTGTGGGTTGGTTCTGATCATCTGAAGGAGCGGTTCGAGGGAGAGAGCAAAGAGGATGGTAGATAGGGTCATCCCTATCGTGTGCCATTGTGTATTCGGAAGGATGGTGGGTGGGTAAGGAGAAGAAGTAGGTGTGCTGTCGGTGTGGAATAGATCATGTAAGCGCATCCAGGAATGTTTGGGGGAGGCCAAATTTGTGTAAGGTGGCAAATAGGAATGGCCAGAGAAGGCTGCAGAACGCCTTTTCGGTGTCGAGCGAAAGGAATAGTGTTGGAGTTTGTTTATTGTTGACCATCCAGATGAGGTTGAAGGTTCATCTTATTTATAGCAGGCCTGTCTAGTGGGGATGAACCCGACTTGGTCCGGGTGGATCAATTTTGTCAGGAATGGGTTTATTCTCTTAGCCAGAGTCGTAGTGAATCATTTTTGCCCACATTTAGTAGCGAGATTGGACGAAAGTGCCCGGGTTCCAGTTGTGTCTTGTTGGGTTTCGGGAGTAGGCATATGCTTGCTTGTTGCCTGTCTTGTGGAAGAGGGTTTTCTTCCATGATGGAGTTAAAAAGTTTGGTTAGGTGGGGGATCAGTATATCTGCATATGTCTTGTAGTATAGGCCACTGAAGCCGTCGGAGCCTGGTGTTTTGTTAGGTTTTAGTGTCTTCGCGGATTCTTGGGAGAGAGCCAGGAGATTGATGGAGGCTAGGTATTGGTCAGTAAGGGTTGTGATCGCGTTGGGTTCTTCACATGCTAAAGGGTCGTGGTCGTATAGTGCAGTGTAGTATTGTTGGAAAATGTCGGCGTTTTTGGTAGGATGGTCATGTATTTGTCCGTTTGGATCCTGTCAATTAGTTTGTGGGTTGTCATTTGTTTTAGTCTTCTAGCTAGAAGTGTGTCGGCTTTGTTGGAATTTTCATAGTATAATTGTTTGGACCATTGCAATGCTTTAGCGGAGTCTCTGGCCATGAAGTCCTTGATATTGTTTTGGTGTTGTGTGATTTGGCTGTTGAGTTCTGGAGTGGAGTTCAATTTGAGTTTAGTTTCTAGGGAGATAAGGTCTAGGAGATTTTGTACTAAGGTAGCCAATTGTTACCTATTATGGCTCACCAGAGGACCGTTTTGTGTGTGGCCCATAGAGTGCTTTGGGAATCCACTAAACCCTGGTTTATGGTAAAGTATTCTGTGATCGCCCTTCAGATGGAGTCTTTTGTTTGTGGGTTATGCAAGAGGGTGGGATTGAGATGCCAAGACCAAGGTTGCGTTGTGTTGGGGATGTCTGTTGTGATTGAGAGTTGGCATGGTTGAACCATGTAATAGAGCCTATGCATGTGGAGGGGAAGGAGGGCATAAGAGAGGGGGAGACCAAAAAGAGGTCTATTCTCGAGTGGGATTGGTGGGGTGTGAAAAGAAGGTGTAATCTTTAGTGGTGCATCCATCAGGCGTCTAGGCGGTGTGTTTTTACAGTGAATGATTGGAGCAATTTATCTGCTTTGTTGCGACCTTGTGTTTTGATTTGATGTATGTCGATATGGGGTGAGAGAGTGGTGTTGTAATCACCCCCTAGTATGTGGTGGTGCGAGGGAAAGAGGGACAGGTGGGCTTGAAGAGTTTGCCAGAAGTTGGTACATGGCGTGTTGGGTGCATATAATGAAGTGAATGCGTATCTCTGTAGTCCTGTGTGGCCCGTGATTGTGAGATATCTACCTTGTGGGTCTATTACTGTCTGTTTGACATTTAGTGGGCAAGCTTTCTGTAGGAGTTTAGCCACTCCATTCTGTTTTCCTGTTGGGGAGTTCGCTTGGTAGTGTTTGTCGGCACAGAAGAGGAAATGATTTGTTTTGAGTAAAATGGGTCTCCTGCAGTAGGATCATGTCGACCGTGTTCTGTTCGCCCAGCACATGGTTTGGTGTTTAGAGGGGTTGTTTAGTCCTTTGCAGTTGATGGAAATGCATTTTATAGTGCCGGGCATGGTGTCTTAGGGAGCGTCAGTGGCCCTGTCAATTGGGGTGAGGCGTGTTAAGGCCCACTCGTGGGTGAGAGGGGCCCCAATCTGGCTGTGAGGCCTCTGTGGAGTGGGGGAAAGGATGTGGGTGAGGGAGGGTCTGTGGGTTGGTGGGTCTGGGGGGTGCAGGAGAGGGTGAATGTGTGACTTGGTCTCATGGTATAATTGCCAGGTCTTGTTGAGGCGGAGTGCCACCGGGTGGTGGGGTGGTCGGGAGGAGGGGTGTTGCGGGGTGTTGCGGGGTGTTGTAGGAGATGGTGTTTAGTTTTTTAATCAGAGGGGTGTAGGGGTGATTCCCAAGGTGTGGAACTATTAAGTGTAAGTCCATGAAGGTCCCTTTGTCCCCCCCCCCCGGATGTTTTGATGGGTGCTTTGATTAAGGGTTTGCGTTTTTGTGGGGTTGGAAGTGGTTATCGTGCCGTGTGTTTTCTAATGCCTGGTGCGGGGTCATCGATCTTGCGGTCTTTGGGGCGTGACCAGGCGAGGGTAAGGGCAGTGTCAGTGATGGGGCGAGTGGGAATTTGTCAGGTCTTGTCAGAATCTACTTTTGCATTTTGAGACACTGTTTCACACAATATTCAGCGGTTAGATATACAGTACAACATTCTTGGTCTCAACATAATAGGTAATACATTTGCTACTGCCCATCCCATCCCACCATCCCTGCCCACGTGCATCTTGTATGTCGGCACCTTCCCCGTTATTCTGTATGTGTTAGCTCGTTGTTACCTACAGCTTAGAAAGTTCTCTCCATATTATTAACGGTTCCCCAAGTAGGACTGTATCCTGCTACGTTGTGTCTGACTTCCCATGGCTAGTGGGTGTATGAGGTTGAGGTCACCTTATTGTAGTTGTGGGCAGATCGCTGTGCCAGTGGTCTATGATGGGCCTATTGCGGTAATGGTGGTTGGTCTAGGTGGTTGGTTTCGGCTTGGCCTCTCACTTGCTCGGCCATTTTGTCCGTTTGATGTGTGGCGTAGGTTGCACTGTGAATGATCCTGTGTTCTCAGTGGTGAATTTGTACTATGTGTTTGTAGTGCGTGTCTGTGGGTCTGTCTGAGGGTTGCTATTTACACGTTTTCTAGTCGCATTACCCAATTAGGTTCAAGTAGTCCATGGTTGTTGCAGGCATGGGGTTAGGACGGTGTCGCGGCTTTCATACCTCGGGGTAATTTTTGTGAAATCCAAAGTGAGTCGATCAGTGGATATGCCATTCCATTGGAAAGTCCGAGCCCCGTCTGGCGCATTGCTTCAGGTGGAGGTTGGGTGTGGATTGATTTGTGGTTGGGGGGGTTTTTTCTGCTGTGTCTGGCGTGGAGCCAGCGGCCCTTCCCTGCATTTGGTGCTCTGTTCAGGTTGACGTCCTGTTGATTGAATAGCGGTTGTGGGGTGGAGTGCTAGGGCTAGGTGCTTTGCAAGGTTTCGCATTTTGTACCTGGTGAAGAGTGTGGGTCTGATTGTCCTTCTTCACTATCAGTTTGAAAGGTTGGCCCCACATGTATCTCCAGCCTTGCTGGGAGAGGGCAGTGGTTAGAGGTTTCAGCTCCCGTCGTTTACATAGGGTTGATGGGGCCAGGTCCTGGAAGAATTGGAGCATATGGTCCTGCAGCTTGGGCGGATTACCTCTCGTCGCAGTCCTGAGTTGTTCTTTCGTTGCGAAATGTAGCATGCGGACTATGATATCCCTGGGGGCTGTAGGCTTAAGGGCCGGGGGGTGCAGGGCCCTGTGTGCTCTCTCGATTGTAAGCTCCCGGGCGGAGGCCTCTCGGATAAGCAACTGGAACAGTTCCCACAGGGTCGGTACGATGGCTTCCGTGGGGATGGTTTCTGGCATGCCTCGTATCTGTATGTTGTTTCTACGGGAGCGGTTGTTGAGGTCCTCCACACTGTCTTCTAACCATGTGATTTTGTCGTAGGCTACTGCGAGGTCCCAGTCGTAGGTGTTTGTTTTGTCAAGTAGGCCTTCGATTTGCGTTTCAGCCTGCGTGTTGCGTGAGGTAAGTGTGTCTATTTCCTCTTTGAGGCCTGAGATGTGACTTTTCAACTCTGCGGCTGCGTGGGCCTTGATATCGGTGGTGGCCTCTTTCAGCAGCCTGCGCATGTCGGCCTTTTTTAGGGGAGCTTCTGGGCCCTCCCTAGCTTCGCTGTTGTCCGACTCGGAGCTCGTGTCTGGGCCTCGTGATAAAGATGGCCTGCGTTGGTCCCGCTGGGCTTGGAACATCGAGACCACGGACAGGGTTGAGTTCTTTTTTTTTTTCTTGTTTCCCCCCCATGTCGGCGGCGTATCACGGTCACTGCCGATGTCTTGGTAGGGTTTGGTACCGGGGTAGCTTGTGTATGCTCGGATGGATGCGGATTTTGTGTCCGGGGTAGCGGGAGCTACAGGCTCACACGTCTTGCTCCTTTGATGGTTAGGCTCCGCCTCCAGTAGATCAATATCTTGATTAGTATCCCATAAGATCTTTGTGTCAACTAAATATATAAGCATGCCTAATTGGCTTAGAGTGCATCAGGTATTGAATACTAGGCAGACATGCTCATACAGAATGACATATTTGCTCCATGGGGATTCAGCACAAAGGGTAAACAAGTCAGTAATAAAGACTATAAAACTGTAGCTATATGATCTGGAGCACAGCTCTAGTTAGTCTGTCCATCTGGCAGAAAGCTGAATCTCTTTCTCTGACCTGTGATGTCCATTAAGGCCTTCCTGTTGCTCAGTAACATTACAGATTCACAAAAGTAGCTACTTGATGAATAACATACTATATAAATAACATATTATATGCACAGCATTGCATTCACCGGAACTGTTATCCTTCTAAAGCTCTCCTGGCCCAAGGCTAAAGATGGCTCAGATCCAGTTGTTTCATGGAATTCTAATCTATCTAGCTGTGTACATTTTTAAGAAAGCACTTTCTACAGAGGTTGTAATCTGAGAAGTATCTTAAATATCTGTAACCATTTGACAAAAACAGACACTGATGTTGAATGTGCAATGTTGTCTCCTAACTAAATTAGTTTTTCTATATATTTTTCTTGATAATTTGTCGCTCTGCTCTCTCTAGTGGTAAGCAAAAACAAACTGATCACTTCTGCTTATCCAAGTAATCATCATTGGCATTGCCATGTGTAACGGAGGCCTGGTATTCCACAGGTTAACTCCACTAAAGATCCCAGTGAGGCTCAGGAACAAGTAGTAAAAATACCATAAAGTAATTATAAAAAGAAGCCTCTAAATTTCCCCCTCAAGACCATATGATTGTCCTATTGATTTATTGAAAGAATCAAAAATTCCTTTTAGTCATATACATCCTCTGTCAGAACCGGAACTTAAAACCCTTCGTAACTACCTTGATACTAACTTAGCAAAAGGATTCGTACGTCATTCTACATCTCCTGCAGGAGCAGGTTTTTTAAAATAAATAAATAAAGATGGAACCATCAGACCAATAATTGATTACCGACAATTAAATACAATAACCATAAAGAACCATTACCCATTCCCACTAATCCCTGAAATTTTGGAGAGAATCAAAAATGCTAAAATATTTACCAAACTAGACCTCCAGGGAGCCTATAACCTTCTCCGTATAAGAGCCGGAGATGAATGGAAAAACAGCATTTAAAAAAAAAAAAATCTTTATTTTTGCATTGACGTAATGTGCAGCTTAATAGGTCACATTGGGTCTTCGCAGAGGCCCATTTATGGTGCGTTGTAACAAGATGTATTTACAGAATGAAAAAACATGGTTAATTGAAGGATGCATGTCATTCGGCATAATAAATTGGTAATGGTACATTGTTTCAGCGCTTTTAAGTTCAAGCCGCGCCAGTATGGTTTCGCCAAGGCCTGAGAGCAATGTACATAAGGTATACTGATGTTTACAGAAAGGAAAAACGTAAGTTAGGTTACATTTACATATTTGGCATTGCGGTTTTATAGTGGCACAAGACGTCAACGTATTTATGATTATTAACATAGTAAAGGTCATCATTTTTAAAACATTAACAATAACTAAGTTGCACTCCATCCATATTTGCCTCATTTTTGCGTAAGTGCGTGGGATGTGTATTTTCTCTTTACACTCAGGTCATAGGTGTGTAGTTGGTTCATTGTGGTCGCTGCACTCTTAAGTCCCATTACTCCTGGGCCCCCTCCCTCTCCTTGTCTCCTTGATGCTATTTTCCACTCTGATACCATAATTGGTTTAATGACCTCTTTATCTCTGGAAATTGCCACTTCCTATTTTCCCAACAATCCTTCCCCTGATTTTCAATGAACCAAGAAAGATGGGTTATGGTACAAAGGTAACTTTTTATACGTACCTTTCCCCTTAAGAAAGAAAATAATGTCTTATATTCATGACAAGCCTCTTTCTGGTCATCCAGGTATTAATTAAACAATTCAATTATGTAAACGATACTTCTGGTGGCCCAAATCCAACAAAAACATTGAAAATTATGTAAAAACCTTCCACTCCTCCCTTTGGCCTATTACAACCTCTCCTCTAAGTCCATGGTCTTCCATAAGTATGTATTTTATTGTTGACCTCCCTTTGTCTGAGGGTAATACTTGTATTCTTACTATTGTAGACCGTCTCACAAAGATTTCATTCCCCTTCCTTCTGTTCCCTCTGCATCTTCACTTTTTTCATAAAGAAATATGTCCGTCTTTATGGAATTCCTGATGAGATTATCACAGATAGGGGAGTTCAATTTACTTCTTTCTTCTGGAGAGAATTAAAAAAAAAAAAAAAATCTACAAATAGAACATAAATTATCCACTGCTTTTCATCCCCAAACAAATGGGCAAAGTGAGAGATTAAACAGTATTTTGAAACAATATCTCTGTATTTACACCACTCACCAACAGGATAATTGGACTTCCCTATTACCTGTCACTGAATTTTCATACAACAATAACATTCAAACGTCTACAAACTGCTCTCCTTTCTATTCCAATTATGGCTATAACCCTAAATTCTTACCTCTAAAATCTAATTTTGATAAAATTCCTGATTTAAGCAATTACTTATCTAACACCAAAGAAACTCATATCAAATTAAAAGAAAATCTTTCACTCTCAAAAGAAAGGTATAACATTTTTGCTGACCTTAAAAGAAAATATAACCCTTCTTTTCAAATTGGTGATGAGGTCCTTCTTTCTTCAAAAGTTCTCAAACTTCAAACTCCATCTAAAAAATAATCTCACACATTTTTGGGTCCTTTTGAAATTCTTGACCAAATTAATGAGGTGTCATTCAAATTTCAACTTCCTCAAAATCTAAGAATTCATCCTGTATTCCATTTATCCCTTTTAAAGCCCTATCTTTCTGATAATACTTCACCTACCTTTCCTCCTCCCCAACCTATTATTGTGAATGATGAGGAGCAATAAGAAATTGAGTAATATATTGGATTCTAAAATTTGTTATCGTAGACTTGAATATCTCATTAAATGGAAAGGGTATGGTAACTCACACAAACCCCTGAATTGTTGAACGCTTTTCACTCCAATTATCCCCTTAAACCTCATATCTCCCAAAGGTAGTTCTTTGGGGAGGGGGTTTGTAACAGTTCCCTTAAAAGGTTCACTTCACTTTCCAATCTATCACTTTAAGAGTCTAATTAAACCTCCAGCTATTTAAACCTTCAACTTCAATGTCTCACTGCACAATTAATGTGTCTCTACCCGTGTGCAGTTGATACCTATTTACTCTGCTACAGGTATCTTTCTACCAAGTCCCAGTGACTCTTCCAATTCCCCTCAAAGTTAATTCCCAGTTAAAATTATTTGCTTATTACTTATTACTGACCCGGATTGGACTTTGACAATTCTCTCGGACTCTCCTTACTTTGCTTATTAATTGTTGCCGAACTGGATTGCATTAGACCCTTCTCTTGGATATCCCTATGGACTGATTTACTATTGCCAAACCGGATTGGACTTTAACTAAACCTTATGGATTTTCCCTATAATATTCAAAATAACTGGATTATCACCTAAACATCGCTCTCAATCCTGGTGATTATCCTTTATTCTCCCAGACCGACCTTTCATACTGGGAGTAGTCTGTTATTTCAACGTGTTTGACAAATATACTGATTAAAATATTACACTGAACTGAGAACACCCTTAAGGTGCTACTTCCCTGCACACCTCAATGCAGCATCCATTTACAGCCAGAAAGAAGAAACTCTGGTTTGGGGAGTTCAAGCTACCTATTTGCACTATACAAGCACCAGCAATCTCATTAAAAAAAAAAAAAAAAAAAACATTTCTATCTGGTTTGTGTCTGTTTATTTGTATATGTGTGTTTTTATAACTGTATGTACGTCAGTGTTTGTGTCTGGGTAGCTGCATGTGTCTCTGTATCTGTGTTTGACTATGTGACTGTATTGCTATGTATCTGTGTGTGTATCTGTGTCTTTATGTATGTCAGTGGGTGTAGCTGTGTGTCTGTATATCTGCATGTGTCAGTGTGTGTATATGCATCATTGTGCATGTGTCAGGGTGTGTATATGTCAGTGTGCGCATGTGTCAGTGTGTGTGTATTTGTCAGTGTGTTTATCTATGTGTGTGTGACAGTGTGTATATGAATCTGTTTGAATGTGTCAGTTTGTATCTGTGTGCTAATGTGTAAGTATGTATGTGGCAATGCATGTTTGTATGTGCATGCATTCAAACAACCAAACACCAACACAACATGCAAAAACACCCCTGTAATCAAATGCAGCCATCATGTATTATTATTATATTTATATGGTGCCAACAAATTACGTAGCGCTTTACAATGGGTGGACTAACAAACATTAATTGTAACCAGACAAGTTTGACGCAAAGAAACAGAGGGGTTGAGGGCCCTGCTCAATGAGCTTACATGCTAGAGGGAGTGGGGTAAAGTGACTCAAAAGGTAGGGGAAGTACTAGGGAAGTAGATTGGTAGAATAGTATTCAATGAAGACTAAGTGAGGCTTTTTTGAGTCATTAACAGTTTAATTAAATTCCTTTGTGAAAAAGTGAGTTTTTAATGATTTTTTGGAGTGGAGACTGGGTGAGCGTCTAACGGAAAAGGGAAGGGAGTTACACAGGAACGGTGCAGCCCTAGAGAAGTCTTGAAGGCGAGCATCAGAGATGGGAGTACGAACAGAGGATAGATGCAGGTCTTCGGCAGAGTGTAGGGGCCTAGACGGGACATACTTGTGTATTAGGGAGGA